ACCCACTTATTACAGCTAGTGGTGTGATACTAGCTAATACATACTGTCGATTTGCAGTTTATAACAATTTCTCGCCTCATACTACTTTAACTGGAGTGTTATTCTACACATCATTATAATGTTTATTATGTACAGTATAAAGTTCTACTAATGAATCTATAATGTTATACCAACCCAACTCGACCTCAAGGTAATAACTCGAAGCGCAATTGCAGGGGGGTTGTCAGTATACTACTTCTTGCTTGGGTGTGGAACAAGAAAAATAATTAACATAATGGTTTAACCATCTAGTTTATTTATCCATTCGGAACCATTATGCGTTAAACTTTATTGATTGTATTTTATGTGTAAGACCATGAGAGAACTTCTTCCCTTTTTTTTTTAGATAATGAAGTGTGCTGTATAAAAATTTTTACTTACGGTAAAATCAAAAAAAACAATGACAAAAAGACTTTCGACTTGGACGACGAGAGTGTCTCTTTCTCCTTTCCGACACACCTTTAATGAAATGTAACACCTTATTCCACTGGGCCTACCAGACACAGTTTTACTTTCTGTCGGGTGTGTGGATGTAGGTGATAGTTTGGCACCCCAGAATAAGTAATGCACAACGTAAGAGATAGTTGTGCACTACAATACATAGGTACCTACATATTTCTCTTCAAGATGGCGTTTTCACTAAGAGACAGCCTGAAGGACGTTGTTTGTGGTGCGGCAATAGCACTAATGAGACTAACCGGTTTGTAAATCGTTTCTACAAAATACTCTTCTGCTAGTGATACACTTGTTTAGTCACAAGTTTGGCAAAGATCAGAAGCCGGAAAGGTAAATGTTCACCGATGACTTTAGTTAGAACGACGACAGACGTTAAATGAGCGCCCTCAACCGCCTGAAAAAAAACAACGCAAATGAAATTGTATTAAACAGTACGCGCCCCCGATTCGCGTAAAGGAACATACCGACATCGGATGTGTCGGTATGGACCTCGTCGGTGACTCACCGCCTGACCTGTAGCCCTGCAAGCCCTGCGTAGGGGTATCCCGGCCATGGTTTTCACCCGGCAGCCCGCTACATCCGTATGCCGCCCCCGCCCCCGCCCCCCCCCCCCCCGCCCCCCCCGCCCCCCCCCCGCCCCCCCCCCCCATCCAACCAAAAATTTATTTATACGCCCGCGTTAAAAGAGCAGGGAGAAGAAGGAAGGAGGGCTATCGTGTTCCCACACGGTGTTCCAAGGTATGAATCTGGGGTAAGAAAATATGGTATATTACATTTATAGATACATTATAAATCGTTACGAAGAATGGTAAAAATACGTCTATGTGACAATAAATAACAAGGAGGGAAGATTATCTCGTGTCAGGATCTAAAGGAGGTCTTGGGGTATTGTTCTGCACGGACATTTGAGTGAGCCGGACTTCCTATTTTCCGCCGGTCTTAGCTTCCCGGGCTTGAAGTGTTTACATGTGTTTGCAGATGCTTAATAAAAGTATATCTTGTACCTTTGATACCCCGTCTCCGCCTGGTGGACACACTGACGTTTGCCTCGTTCACGTGTACCCGCGGCGAGGCGTCATTCAGCGGGCTCTCCAGCTCACTCTCACAGGGCAACAAGTTCCAGCACCTTCTCAGTGAGTTTCCCGACTTGACGCAGCCCACCTTTTCCGCTGCCACTACCAAACACGGGGTAGAACACCACATTGACACTGAAGGCCCCCCTGTCTACGCTAGGGCCCGGCGGCTCAACCCTGACATGCTGGCAGTCGCCAAGTCGGAGTTTGTCAACATGGAGCGTCTGGGCATCATCCGCCGCTCAGACAGCCCTTGGGCTTTGCCGCTTGACATGGTCCCTAAATCAGCCAGTGGCTGGCGACCGTGTGGTGACTACCGCCGCCTTAACGACGCCACTACGCCAGACCGCTACCCGGTCCCTCACATCCAGGACTTCTCTGCACACCTGGCGGGCAAGCTGGTTTTCTCCAAGGTGAATCTTGTGCGGGGCTACCACCAGGTTCCGGTGCACCCCTCGGACGTACCCAAAAATGCGGTAATTACGCCGTTTGGGCTTTTCGAGTTCCTGCGTATGCCGTTTGGACTTAAGAACGCAGCTCAGTCCTTTCAGCGGCTGATGGATTCAGCGCTAAGAGACATGCCATTCATCTTCGTTTATTTAAACGTGGCTGAACCTGTCACTGTGGTCCTGCCTGACTCTCATCATACTGCTTCTCTGATGGCTCCCACAGGATTGTTGACATCCTCCTGGATTCATCTTCCTATTATAGACACATGCATTTCCAAATATTTGGTCTACCTACGCTTTAAAATGTATTATCTCTTCAATTTACACACAGCATCTATTGCACGTCTGTCCGTCCTGCGATCCCTCCTCTGTTGCTCTCCCTGAGGTTATTCCTCTTTCTCCATTAACTGTGGGGTTTCTTTGGAAGTTTTTCCTTGTACGATTTGAGGGTCAAAGGACAGAAGGTGTCGTATTGTCATACTGATATTTTGTACACACTGTGAAGACCACTGAGACAAATGTAACATTTGTGATATTGGGCTATATAAATAAACATTGATTGATTGATTGATATAAATCCACAGACAAAAATAAATAAATTACTTAACAGAGTACGAGAATTGGTCTTGAAGTTCAAATTCCAAAGATATTCAGTTTACTATTACTAATGGAAAGAGCACATATTCAAATAAAAAGCTCAATTAAAACTAATTGTCAATCAATTATTTACAGACATTATGAAGGGCAGGTACACATGTTCCGGAAAGGCTTAGGAGGATAGTTGAAAAGCAGCCTTCAGTTTAGTGTCATTATCAGGAACAGCATGGTCTACACAGGCTCTCACTATTCTAGGCTTTCACATATAAATGCATGGACCAGGTGTTTTTTGTTTCCTTGGAGGCAACATGTTAAGGCAAGCAACTTAGAGGTTCACTTCTGAAATAACTGTATTATTCATCCTGACACAGGCAAGAGATACTTCATGTATCAGAGAACAGACAGAAAACCGACTAAATGTCACTAGATTCTTTTTGCAAAACCAACCAAACTATTATATATACCCAAAGGGATCTAAAAATGGATTATACTTCGTGGAGGGATGCTATTGCTTTTTAACAATGGCCTTCAACATTGTTATACCTGACCAGTGAATGGAAGATGTTTACCGTGATATGATTAAACTTGCAATCACCATGTTAGCATCAATCAATCAATGTTTATATAGCCCCTAGTCCCTCTCCCAGGACGGACAGACGTGCAATAGATGCCGTGTGTAAATCTAAGAGATAATATGCATAATCTGCAATTTTCCAATCAATTACGCCTGGTAGGTTTTAACTACTAACTAATGTATCAGTTAAATTACTTGATAAATTGTTGGTATAGAAAGGACATTTAAAAAATGTTCTGATGCCTACTGATTTAAAATTCCTTATAAGTGTGACTGGGTGGAAAGCAGACAGACAAAATGTAGAAATACATCTTAGGGATGTAACATTGGTTAGAATCTGTCCCCCAATGAATGATTCCGAAGTGTTAAAAGGTATGGTTTGAATGATGATACTGCATATGCATGTACACTTCATATTGATTAACAATACAGGGAATTACAATTTGCATCTGACAATTGATAGGAGGTTTATTTAAGAGCCAGTGTGGGCCAATGGCAAGAGAAAACATTTGAAATAAATATTATAATACTTTATACACTCCTTGCTTTGATCTTCTGAATTACTGATATAGGCTAGGTTGTTGTAACATGGTCTTGAGGGCCTTATAATATAATGGTCTGGACCAGGTTATGCATAAATTGCATGTATATTATATATACAGTCTATGATAAATTGCCATGGTGATCTAGCCAGGTTAAAAGAGAGTATTTTCGTAGTACGGAAAACTCTCGCTTAAAAAAGGTCAGTAGCTACAGCCCTCTGAGTGTAGATAAACTAGATTGAAAGCGAGCCAGACGGGAGCCAAAACAAAGACACCCGACGGTTGCTGCTGATCGGTATAATGCCTGATGATATTATTTAAGGCAGTTTTCAATGTGCATACAGAAAACACATACATCATGGACTGATATACTGTATTTATTTTAAATGTTTGAAAAATAAAATAAAAACATTATTTTTTAAATGTTACACATTAATATTACAGACATTGTTTTCAGGCATAAGAGCAGACAGCTTGATACTCGGAGGTCCTGCCAGTTGTAGGCGCTTTTCCAAGCGAGCTGCAAAACACAAATCGATTGTTTATTTTGTGTTTGTTTACATTTTGCATGCGAACAAATGGCTTCGACTTTGCTGTCGCCTATGGTGGATTATTACAACGATGAAGAAGAACTTGATAGCGTGGAGGACGATGATGACCGGAGTTTCAGGGGAAGAGACTCGGAAGAAGGTAGCGTTTGACGAATTGAGCAAAAAACCCCGACGGGCTCTGTCTACTTGTTGGAAAAGAAACGGAAGCGCGCTTTAATTGCGTCAAATCAGCTATTTTTCAATCTAGCATTTAAAGTGATCTACAGATTAAGCTGTTTCACATTGCCTCCTAAATTAAATGTTTAACTTCCTGTTCCCCAAGCTGGAAAGCTCGTAAAACGCGAGCCTCGCCTACACGCAGTTGGCATGCTAGCTACATAACAAGCTACCACACGACCGCCAATCAAGTATCTGCCGAGTCAAGAAACATTTCAGAAGCAGATGATGGATACTAGCTAAACTGTGTGCAAGCGAATAACGTCTGCTGATGCAACAATTTAACCAACGGTTAAAGATAATGATATCACCGAACATTTGTTGTCATGCTAGCCCATCTATACTAACGTTCCCCGTGAGGCACCAATCAGCTTTAACCACATTATTGGGCATATTGCCTCTATTATGTAATACATTAAAACGGATCAACTCTTACTGCAAGTTTAATTAAACTAACGTTTGGTAAGTTACGTCGTTGCTGGAATAATACAGTTTCCTTCAAACATATTCCAAAAGGGATACATAGCGTTAATTAGCCAACCTGCTAAGTAGCGTTAGCTACACGCATTGACAGATCGGCAGGCAGGCGAAACCCTGCGTCCTGTGTCCACGGCACTGCCCTTTTCACACTATTCAGTGAGACAGGACGGATAGCAGTGAAAGAGAAAAGGAGACAACAGGAAAGCAAGGCGATGACAGCACAACAAGGTTAGATAGTTTCCTGACACTGACTTCCGAAGCGAGCAGCTGGACTTATTTCTTCCTCGCACGGGCATGTTGACGGCGGTGCTGCTCCTAACTACGCGAGCTCGAATCGGGTTACTGTTTAAAGAAGACGGGGCTAACTTAAGCTAGCACATTAATGCTAACCGAAAATGAAAGCTGCAGTGTCAGCTTAATGCAACTGGGCCTTACCCTTTTCTCCTGTCCGGTTTTGAAGGTAACACCGACTGGCCTAGGTTAGCCGGTGTTAATAAACTTGGCCCCCAAGTTTGCCACATCGCATTAGCCTTAACATGTTAGCTTTACCGTGAGAGTTGCCGTTGGACTGACAGCACGGCCAAGTTAGCCGGGGACCGTTTCTGATTAATCTCACCATGCGGCAAATGCGTGACACTCAAACTAACAGCTACATTTCTGTCTCTTGGCACATTAATGTAATTCGATTACAACTACAAGCGTTGTCTTCATCTTGCTAAACTCCCCGTTGTTGATGCGAAGATAGATAATGTAGGATCTTTCATGGCAAACTTGGATGTTCATTGTCCTATTATTACAAAGAGGGCAATCCCAAACAGGGTGTTCACCATTACCTTACCGGTGCCACGCACGTCCTTTGATCCGAGTAGACATCTGTTGTCTGTCTGGATGTAACCTGTTTGCCTTCAAGACTTTTTTTTTTATAACCAACTTAATGATTTTCTTGTGGTATAACATGCTGAATTGATCACAACAACAGTCTTTTTTTAGAGGCTGTTTTTAAAGTTAAAAAAAGTTTTATAATTGAGAGTATTCTTCTTCTTCTTTCATTACCTTTTTTCCAGACACGGAAGATGCCAGTGAAACAGACCTTGCCAAACACGACGAGGATGACTATGTCGAAATCAAAGAGCAGTAAGTGCTTTGCTAACCATGGGTCAGCTGTTTCAATAAAAGTCATTTGTAAGTCAAGTTTGTTTTAATGTTTACAAATTATAGGAAAATATAAAACCATCTCTGTTTTATTTCATGCAGAATGTACCAAGACAAACTGGCCTCTCTGAAAAGACAGTTGCAGCAATTACAAGAAGGTAATCCATTGGATTTTCCCCCTATAACAGAAGTGTGGCAGGATTTTTCCAAATGTGTATGACTTCTGCTCTTCATAGTGTGAGATGGGATAAATGTCCTGGTCGGGGTTCATTTATATTTTGAAGCTATGTGTAGATATAATGCAGCTATATCCCAAATGATTATTCATGTTGATGCATTACATCATCAGGACACAAAGGCAGTTCAAAAGGCATTTTAAGAGTCGCTGTCTCTGGCCCAAATGAAAAATAAACTGATAAATCGATACAAACTGATGACAAACATAACAGGGAGGCTGTGGCTCAGTGGGTAGTGTGCTGGACTTGGAATCAGGCGATAGCAAGTTCGAGTCCCACTGCAGTCAGCATGTCGTTGTGTCCCTGGGCAAGACACTTCACCCCAAATTGCTCCTGTGGGGATTATCCACAGTACTGAATGTATGTAAGTCACTTTGGATAAAAGCGTCTAACAAATGACATGTAATGTAATAAGCAGTGCATTTTGTTTAATTTATTCTGTGTGTTGATGACTGATTCAAAGTGTTTTTAAATAGTAAGTTGACGGTGTAGAAATTGAGGTGACATGTTGTGTTGCAATTTAGGTGCACTGACAATTAAATCTAGTCTAGACTGTGGGTGTACAACTAAGTAATAAAGGATACCTTACCATTCTTAAGTCAATGTTGTAATTCCACATCTTCACATTTGTTTTAAAAACATTTTCTTTTTCAGGTACATTGCAGGAGTATCAGAAAAGGATGAAAAAGCTGGACCAGCAGTACAAAGAGAGACTCCGAAATGCAGGTTAGTGACTGTTCTTTGCTTCACCAAACTTGACCAATTGCAAAAGCTTATGACTACAAAGAGGACAAGTGTGGCTATAGCAGCATTATACACAACGAGATCAGATTTCCCTCATGGCTGCCGTCATAGGATTTGTTATAAAGTTGTTCTACAATTACTGCAGTGTTATAGTAGATGTTGTGGTCGACTGTATCCTTGACTCCTAGTCATTTTCTCCTGCATTTTATTTTTTATTTGAGTCTAACAAACAAATTATTGCCTTTTTTTTTATTTCTGAGGTTTTAAAATAGTAGTTTTGAAATAGAGTATGTTGTTTAAAAAATAACCTTCATTAAAAATGTCAATTCACAAAACAAATGGAGTGGGGTTCTGTGTTTACATTTAGTGTGTGCTCCAATGTCATGACTGTCCGATTTAGGTTAAAAGAAGATTGGATAAATAAAGTGAGCTGTTAGATTAAAAACAGCGTACAATATCATAATTAAAAGTATAGGTTCTACACAGACATCATCAATTTGTAAACGTGCAAGAACAGATCAAAATGTCTCAAATGGACTGAGTCATCTTCCTCCCTTTGCTCCAAACCCATTCATCTTCCATCATTTGACAGTTTTAATTATTTTGATTACTTTATTTTGATGTCCCAGCGGCTTTGGTCTGATTAGCTTTTTCATTTGCCAGCTTTGTGAGCCAGAATATTCAGTGCCTAAGTTTTTGCTAATCATAATGACTTGTTTGTTTTGCCCAGAATGCAATGCAACAAGTGCTTTTATGTTAATTGGTGGCTGCTTAATGTTGGTGTCCTTGCTGTATACTAGGGCTGTAGCGATACACTAATCTCACAATACGATACGATACACGATATTGAGCTCACGATACGATATATATCACGATATTCAGCCAACGATACGATTCGATATAATTCGATACACTTACATCATTTTCTTAAAGATTTTAAAGGGACAGTGTGATTTTGGTGACATCTTGTGAGTGTTCCATTGATTTGGATTGAATTAATTCAACTGAAAACTGAAAGCATCAATTATACAATATATGGCTCTGACTAGACAGAGAGTCTACAGCTTGCAAATGCTGGACAAAATGACTCAAAAGATGTGGTGAGAAAATTTGTTTCATTTATTGAAACAGTGCCAACTGTAGCTTACAAGCCTTTGAAACGTAAGTACATAAAGTGCAGTATCACAATGGACAATGGAGAATTAAAAGGTGCAGCAGGTGGCCTGTTCTGAACAGATTCTTTTACAGCATTTTTAGCTTAACACAGAATATGAGGTAGCCAATAATTCAAGTCACTAAGAACAACATTTAATGTAAAATGTACCTGCCAATAATTCAAGTCCAAAGGAGTAACATTTAAGCCAAAAACACTAAACAGAAAGGCTCCTCTCTACATAACTGCATCTACATTCTCTTCAGATTTTTGTTCAGGAATATAATCTGATCAACGTGGTCTGGGAGAAGTGCACTTCTCTGAGCAGTGACGATGGCCCATTCCTTGATCAGATTATATTCCTGAACAAAAATCTGAAGAGAATGTAGATGCAGNATACACCTGAACATCAGCAGGAGAGGACTCTTTAAAGTAGAGAGACTACATACTGATATACACCTGAACATCAGCATGAGAGGACTCTTTAAACTTCTATCTTTTGTCGTTCTGACCACAAACATTTCTTTTTACTTTCCGTTTGTACAAACAATTTCAACCCTGTTATTTGAATGAATATTTCATCACATCAGGCTTTTTTGTCCGGTCTTTAGGTCTAGCCGTTCGGAGCAGACTGCAGACGGTAATCTGTTTGAACTTTAGTTAATTCTTAATAATACTCTGCCCTTTGCTTCTGCCTCAGAGAACAGACATCGTTGCTGCTCGACCACAATGTGTTGCGTCCTCTGGAAAACACATATTTTATTTTCAGGACAGTTCATTAAAGTGTTTCTCCTTTGTTTCAGTGTTTCTTTCAGTTAGCAGACGATGCAGTAAGATGCATTTAATAAAAAAACCTTTCAGCCAGTGTAATAGCTGAATAACCATCAGCGCAGTGTGCAACTTCAACTTCTAAGGAAAGCCATTATTACAAAGAGCTAGAGGAAGCACTTTATATTCTCCATCAGGCTATCTAATTAGCATATTTGTCTTCTTATCGTCACAGTTTCCTGCAGAGGTTATAGGTGGATCCATCAATATGTCAGCCTCGGTTCATCTTACCCACCTTTCTGTCTCTTTATTTTACTCACTGTCACCACCTTTCATTTATCTGTCTCTTCCTCTGCCCTTTAAAGTGACTTCCTTCATCTTTGAGACATATTTCTGCCTTCTAGGGCTGCAAAAAAAAATTCTAAATGTTGTCAAAATCACAGTTTGGACGAGTGCCATATCCAACAAACAATACACAAGACATGATGAAGACATGATGAAGACATGATGAAGACTCAGGCTCATGGTAAATACTTGTTACATGTTTCCTTCTCGAGATTTCAGTGGGAATAGCCATTGTTCCAACCACCATGCTAGCCAGCTTTAGCGCGATTAGCTTCTACAAGGCAGCTACGGTGACTTAATGGCAAGAAAACTAAAACAAAATCTCTCTCTACAAGAAAGCTTAGAGAGGACACAGCTTAATAGGTTACTAATAGAAGTTATTAACAGAAAAACAAGCAGTAAGATAAAATAAGAACGGTTCAAGTTGAAAATAGTACAAGTCTAGCAGGAGGAACTGCAAAAAGCTGCATGCACGGTTGGCGCTTATGCACTAGAATAAAAATAAATAGAAAATGGCAAAATCACAATTAGTTGTTTGTTCCAAATCCTCCAGCCCTAGTGTCTTGTATATTGTTAGAAATTAAAATCAATGTTTTATGGCATAATTTAGTTAGAACATACCGTCAGTTTAAATGCTATTTTATACTGAAAAAACCCGGAAGTTCTCAATACCAAGGTTTTATTCTGAAAATCCTTCATGACGACATCCGGGACTACCGTCCATTAGTATCATTAAAGTGGCTATTGACGCCGTTAACATGTGTTACATATAAAGTTATGAAAGAGACCTCCAACCACGTTCCCAACTCTTTACGCCGGAGTGTAATTGGATTAGCAGAGGGTGAAAAAAGCGACTCCTGGTGGCTGATAAACACACAAGAGGTAATTCACTGGAGGAGCAGGTCATCTCTCTCCTTCTGTCTCTTTTTTTCTCTAAATCTCCTAATTTTCTCAGTGTTTTCCCAGCCCGACAGTGCTCACAGTGATTACAACTCATTAAACACCCTCTATTTCACTTGTCTGGCTGGAATAAACAAATAAAGGGGCTTAATCCAAAAGATATTGAGCAAGTAGCCATGGCTGGAGGGACGGGGAATAGGCGGTGTATGTGTTCAGGGGGTGTGGAACAATTAGGAGGATTTATGTAAAGTAGAAGCTGGCTGGAGGCATTACGCAGGAGGAGGTAATAAGCTGAGGCTAATTGTTGCAAGTGAAAGTAGATCCAGATGAGAACATTTGAGCCGATTTCTCTCGTAGGTGTAACGACTTTTCCGTCTGATAGAGCGTTATAATGCACGCCCTCCAGCTCCTGCTCTGAAACACCTGAGGTGATTGTATCCGGCCTGACAGCAGAGGTGCCGTTGGAGGTGATCAGGATTCAGGTGCATCATTCATTCTGTGGTAAACAGCGGAGCTCAGCTCTTTGCAGCAGCTTTTCTCTTGTGTCGAATCCAAAAGCTTTTGTTGAACCAATTACTGAAACACATCTCTAACAAATGAATGCTTGGATGGATGTTGTATTCATGTGGTGCCATTTGTTTGTCTCTTTAAAGGTCAAACTGCAGGACATAATGGGATTAAGACTGATTCAACTCATTAACATGCACCCTTTGCTGCTTTGTGGCCCAGTTCTCAGCCAGGAATGGTTTAGTTGGGACAGAGAATGGATTGTAATTCTGCGTTTAAAGACACATGATATGTAAGTCTTACGATGTAAATTAGTCGTGGATCCAAATCGGCCACACATGTTTAAAAAACGGTTTATTAGTGTCTTCCAAAACCGTTATTAGCATTAGTACATCAATGATAAATATAAGAAGGACCTCTCGTCCAAGTTTGCTTTAAAACTAAGACTGAAAGACTGAAAACAAATCTCTCTGCAAGTACGTTTAGAAAGGACACAGCCTGATAAGTTAAGAAGTTATAACAAAAACACAGCAAGTAAGATCAAATATGAAAGGTGGAAGTTGACAAATCTAGCAGGAGAAACTGCAACAGGCTGCGTGCACGGTTGGCGCATATTCACTAGAATAATAGAAATAGAAAATAGTAGGGATGCACCGAATATTCGGCCACCGAAAATTATCGGCCGAAAATGGTTAAAAAGGCCTTTTTAACCATTTTCATTTTTGAAATATCACCGAATGTCAGACAACAGGGTTACGTTGATCATACTCCGCATATTTGTCCGGGTGTTTTGATTTCAAGTGTTGGAGTAATCCCGAAGTGGTGAAAGTCTTTGCAGTTACACCCCCTCGAGAAATGTCAGCTGAACACGTTTTACAAATCGCAATCCGCGCCTCTTTCTCTGATATTTTGAAATATCTCCAAGCGCCAGACATGTTGGCTGTGAGCCAGCCGCGAGCATGGTCGCGCACCGTGCTTGTCGCCGCGTTTTGATTACGTCATCACAACAACACGTTAGCTTACCAACGTAACCCTGTTCTCTGACATTCGGTGATATTTTTTCGGTGCTAGAACCCTTTCGGCCGAAAGCCGAAAGAGCCTTTTTAACCATTTTCGGCCGATAATTTTCGGCGGCCGAATATTCGGTGCATCCCTAGTAAAGATAACATGACACAATACAAGAGCAAAGCTACTATAGGACAGCAACATGAACCAATCTGTCACCTGACTGGATAAATACG